GATAGCCATTCACCAAAATAAAAATATGCCATTCTGAGACATTATGCCACAATCATGCTCATTGCTCAATGCCATGGTGTGTCGCCACAAAGTAAAATTTAGAAATTAAAAATTTACTCCCTCCTAAATCACTAGCCATAGCTGTGTGTGTATAGTGTGTGTGTGCTTACCAGTATTGAACAGATTATGGCAGCAACAGTGAAGAAGATTGTAGTGAAGCTCATAATAGGACAGACAATAGCAATAACTAGTGTAGGAATGAAGTAATCGTTAGGAACAAATTCAGACTGTAAGTGAACAACAGGAGGAGCCATAGCATACTGCATCATACCAGGCTGGTATGGAGCCATGGAGGGAACCATCTAGTACACAAAAAAATGCAATCAAGTCTATTATTTGAAGCCATACTTGAACGGGAACTGGTTGTACCATCATTGGGACATTCTTGGCTTGTTGTGGATGAACGCCTGACATTCTTCTTAGTCTTAAACGTCTTTATGAGTACGACAGAACCTCAGAGAGGAGAAGATGCAAAGCAAATGCCTACCTCAGCTAAGGTAAAATTGTTTACTATGAGTCATTATTACGTCATTCCCCAGTTTATTTTTATTTTAACCCTTTTCTCACTCAACACGTGTTATTGTGTTGACAAGTGAGTGACACACAACTTGGCACGGAATGTCTTGGAAGCCTTGGACTTTAGCTGCTGCCCGTTTGAAAATGGTAAAAAGCAAAGACTTCAAATTTCCTGAACCTATTTCTCGATGGAACATTGTGAAAGGAGACCTGGCAAGTTTTTTATATTCAACATATACATGTACAACACTGATAAATAATTATTAATTCACTGCAGGTACAGATACTGTGTGGTAAAGATAAAGGACGAAATGGAAAAGTTGTTGCAGTTGCTCGGAGGACAAATCGTGTATTTGTTGGAGGTCTTAATACTGTATGTTTCATAAATCAATGTCTTTATTTATATTGGGTGTGGTTTGTAGCATATAAGAGTAATGGTAGGTGAAACAGCAAGAACAAGGATAGCTAGTGAAGCACCTTTACATGTTTCCAATGTAGCTCTAGTTGATCCTGAAGATGGGTATGCTATTGTATAATGTATTTTGTAATTAGAATTAATTATTGTAAATTTTAATACATGTACATGTAATGAGACAAATAACTGCTGATTGTCCAGGGCCATCTGGACTATATTTTCACCGAAATTCAATTCTTGAGTGCCAATAATCTGATTGATATTATTTGAAACTCACTGCATAGCATAACATTAGTACCATAGACAAACTTAGAGTTTTCACCAGTCACCAGTATTACTTCAGTTGAAAATTTGAAATGTAACTTTTAGCATTATAATTCAAGATTTTTGTAGCTTGCAGTAAATATTAACAGTGTACATGTGTTGTGTTTTGTATGTGAAAATCTGTAAAAAGATCTTTATTTTGCTTTTAGTAAACCTTGTAGAATTAGATATCAATACACTGAAGATGGAGAGAAAGTCAGAGTGTCAAAAAGAAGTGGACGGATCATACCAAAACCTGTGAAGTTTGA